GAACCGGTCTCCACATGGGATCCGAACCCTCGGTGGGAGTGCCGCCGCGCTCTCAAGCGGCGCACTCTCCAGTGCGCCACCAGGCCGGCCCATAATTTGCGCGACCGCTTGGGAGCACCGCGGCGCTCCCGCCGAGGGTTCGGATCCCACATACAGACCAGTTCCCGCTCACTGGCTGAGCGAGGTGCGGGTGCGACACTGAGGGTTGCGATCCCGTTGCCGGTCCCGGTCCGGTACGGGCGTGACACTGAGGGTTGCGATCCGTTGCCGGACACGAAAAAAGACAAAAAGGGGAAAAAAAAACAAAACACCTAGCTGTAGCTCCGTGATAGGTGGCAGGGGATGGATGGCAAAGGGTGTTGGTGGAAGTCACACCTTTCACAAAAGAAGTACTTGAACTTGATCTTGAAATAGTAGTAAACTTAAACAGCGTAGCTGTCCGACTATGACACAATCCAATTTTAAAATATTTCCATCTTCCCCAAAAGACTCCTACATCAGACAACCACTGATCTGCTTTCTCTACATGTATAGTTTTATGTTTTCTAGAAATATCACGTAAATGAAATCATGCAATATGTTAAATAAATAGAAACCAATTATTTTACCTTGATTTTTAAAAACTTTAATTATAGTGCCACTAGTTTTTAACCTCCGTGTTTAAAACTGAAATCTATTGCCTTCTAAGTCAATCAAACACAATATTTAATTTTTTTATTGAATCATAATTGATTATACATATTTTTAGGATTCAATGTTGACATATGTTGATCAAATCAATATTACTAGTATGCATATTGCTACAAATTGTACTTATCAATATTTAGTTTTTTGACTCACAATTAGTTTATGTCAGCCTCATCTTAAGCTCTAAATAAAACTTTCCAATGTGTATTGTTTCATTTTTTTTTTATGGGTTCTATGTTTATCATTAATTCTTGAGAAGGTAGCATCAGAAGGGGACTTTGAAGTCCTGATGCAAGAATCCTTAGTGGTCATCTTACTTTTGAATCTTCCAAACAATGAGGTATAAACTCTCTTAGCAAATAGTTTTTTGCATTTGTGAACAGCTCCAACACGAGAAAATTCTTTTTTTTTTTTAATTGTGCTAAACATATTTTTTTCTTACAATTTTGGGAGTTGGGCAGAATCAAATTTCTCTTACACCTGCTCACCTTCAAACAGTGAAGATGGATAGGTTCTGTGTCCCAGCCAAGCACCCCAACCCTCCCGTTTGTCCTCACCAGACTGTCTCCGGGCCCTTCACCACCTTATTCATCTCTGGGGATGCACTCATTGAGCAACTTCGTTTTGTCAAATGTGACATCCTGAACTGCTCAGAATAGTCCAGATTTGTTCTGAACAGTGCAGAGGAGCTGTTCCTCCTTCCTCTGCACACTGTGCATCTGTTAGTGCAGCCCACATTTGTACTTGTGTTGTTGACAGCCTTGTCCCACTTTTGACTCACTCTGAATTTGCAGTCTGACATGCTTGCCTTTTTAAAATGGGCTTCAAATTTCCAAAGGTCAGGAACTGTAAGTTCAAACCTCCATGTGGCATGCAAGTGTCCCACAAGCGTTCCACAGTGTTCATGAAATACAGATACAATTACATCTCTCCATGGCTTTAAAAGATTTGCTACCTCATACTGTGAGGGACACACAGAGGTGTTCATGACAGGGGTCCTATCTACCCTCCTAGCCTCATGTCTCACTGTCCTTCTTGTCCTTTCTCCCCAGCCCAAGCAGGTGTAAATAACTGCCCCTCCTCTGGGAAGAGAGCACGTCATGAGTGTGCCACTTGCTGTGGCCTGGTTTAATCACAGTTAGGAGTATGTGTTCCCTGCTAGATTAGAAATGCCTTTAGGGTGTGGTCCGTGTTCTGTTCATCTTTGTATGTCTGGTCTAGCATCCTATCTGGCATAGCGTGGATTTCAGTGAATGCTGGTTGAATGAGAGGTGGATGGATGGTCAATGGGTGGATGTGTGCATGTCCTGTCTCCCACCTAGACACTAAGACTTTGAGGGCAGGGCTCAAATATTACTGTGCTGCATCTCCACAGCTTGCAGAGGAAGCCTGTCAGTCACTGTCTGGATCATCCACGTCTCCTCCAGGTCACTCTGTACCTGTTCTGAGCGTGTACACTTGGGGAGCACAGGTGATGGTGTAGACACATGTACATGGCCTTTTTCAAGTGTGTCTCATGATTCTTCCTCTTCTGTCTCTCCTCCTTCCCTCCCTGTACCCCAATGCCTCTCCTCTGCTGCCCCCTCCCTGCTGTTCCTTCCCTGTCATCCATCCTCTCTCCAGCCAGCGTCTGCTTCCCTGTGTGTGTGGAAGTGCCCTCGGAGACGGAGGCTGTCCAGGGCAACTCCATGAAGCTGCGCTGCATCTCCTGCATGAAGAGGGAAGAGGTGGAGGCCACCACGGTGGTGGAGTGGTTCTACAGGCCCGAGGGCGGCAGAGATTTCCTTGTATGTCTGACTGCTGACTCTGGCCTTTCTTCTGCTGCCTCTGCTGTTGAGTGTCTGGCTCCTGACTGTCTGGGCATGACCAGCTAGCAAACCCTGGCTTTTTCTCTTCCAAGCACTGACAGCTCCTCAGCAGATAACTGACAGCCTTAGTTCAGCCCAGCTTCTGTGACAGGGAGGGCACTTGGCCAACCACAAGCACCCTGGTTACAGGCATGGGAAGGAGGGGAAAGAGATGAACAGTATTTAAAGCCTACTGTGCATTAGGCACCCAAGTAGGCACTTTGCAGGTGTTTTCATTTCATCTTCTGAACCATTCTATTGGGAGGATTTAATTAGGAGAGAAATTGAAATAACAGGAAGCATCCTTATATGAAATAATACAGGTTAGCTCCTTCAGCTCTCAGGATCCCAGTGAAGTAAGAATGACAGGGTTAACCAAGGCTGATATTCAGCTGGTTTGCCCAGTATGGTCACATCAGCGGGTGAACTGTTCAGATAGTTCTGTAGTGGACACTTGCTGTGCTAGGTCTCCACCACCATACTCCCCACTAGGAACCCTCAGGCCTCCCCATGATCTAGACTAAGGGATTCACTCCTAGCAGAGCAGGGAGCCTTCCAGACTCGGCTCCTGTGTCACGGCCAACATAATTTCTGGCTGGTGGGTGCCAGTGCCGAAGTGGCTGTTATATATTTTGAATACCACCTGGGAGATGACCATCATTTACACTTTCCCTGACCCTGGAGCCAGGTCACCTGGGTTTGATTCTTGACTCTATAATTATTAGCTCTGTGTCCTTGGACATGTTACTCAGACTTTCTGTGCCCCAGTCTCCTAGTTTTTGAAATGGGGATATAAACATAGCTACCATATAAGGTCGTTACCCGGACTGATGAGCTATAATTTTTAGTGCATTTGAGATAGTTCCTGGAATATGGTAGGCACTATGTTAAATGTTTTCTAGAGAAAAAGATATATATGCAGAAACAAGAAAACTAAGGCTCAGAGAAGTTAAGAGTTTAGGTTTGAGCCAGGTGGTCTGACAGCAGACACAAGGCCCTCTTACTGCACCACCTCACCTTCCTGGGGCCATGTTTCTCCTCCACAAATACCTTCAGTGGAGACAACAGCAGGGTGAAGTGGATAAGTTTCACTTGCTCTTCTGTCTAGCTTTCCTAAAGCTGAACTTGTTCATGTGCCTTTCTGATGTGGGTTGGCTCCCACCAGGTGCCAAGTCTGGGACCAGCTGAGACGTCCCAGAGCCAGCCTCAGGCTTGACAGTGACACATCTGTGAGGCTGCAGCCAAGGCTGGTCCCCAGCTGACAGGAGACTGGGTGTCATGGCCAGATGCAAAGGCCCCTGTGGGCTTCAGGTTTGGTCATGTCAAAGCCACCTCGCTGCTTCCAGGCCTGCTCAAAGTGGGGAGAAGTTGCCTCGGAAGGAAGAAAAGAAACAAGCAAAAAAAAAAAAAAAAAAAAGAAAAAAAAGTCATGATGGAAATCCAGAGCAATGCTGTCTAATAATTTTTGTGATGTTGAAAATGTGCAATACATTCTAGTCTCCACTGGCCACCTGTGGCTACTGAGCATTTAAAATGTGGCTAGTGCAACCGAGGAACTGATTTTTACATTTTATTTAATTCCTAATAATTTAAATTTTAAAAGTAGCTACAGGAAGTTAGTGAAGACTAGAATGCACAGCACAGCCTAGAGGGAAAAGGGTTTCATGTTAGAGGGTGGAAGTGTTTGAGAAAAAAAATTTAAGAGGCCAGATTTCAGTGAAAATTCAGCCCAAAGCAGAAGACCTGCCGTGCACCTCTCAGTTAGCAGCTCTCTGCTCATCAGCCACACGTCAGCACCCGGGTCCCCTTCCTGTGGCCTGGGCCAGACTGCACACAGCCCCTCGATGGGTACCAGCTCAGAGAGTCAAGTGTTGAGAGCAAGGGGTTGCAGGTGTCTTCATCACCAATGAAACTGCCTCTCCTGGTCTCACCACCTTCTTCTCTCACTGGCCGCCCCACAACACCTTTCTCTTTCTCTTGTTCCCTCCTTCTGTCTCCTAATACTCCCTTTCTCTCAATTCCCCCTCCTGGTTCCCACATGCTTCACCCTCTTTCCACCCCTTTTTTTTCTGCCGAGCTTCCTCCTGCCTGCCCCTTTCTGCCTATCCCGACCACATCCATGGTCGCCTCGGCCCATCATCTGTCTCCGCCCATCGTTTCTGTCTCCGCCCATCATCTCTGCCTCCGCCCATCATTTCTCTCTCCGCCCATCATCTGTCTCCGCCCATCATTTCTGTCTCCACCCATCATTTCTGCCTCCGCCCATCATTTCTGTCTCCGCCCATCATTTCTGCCTCCGCCCATCATTTCTCTCTCCACCCATCATCTGTCTCCGCCCATCATTTCTGTCTCCGCCCATTTCTGTCTCTGCCCATCATCTTTCTGTCTCCGCCCATCATTTCTCTCTCCACCCATCATTTCTCTCTCTGCCCACCGCCTTTCTGTCTCTGCCCATCATTTCTGCCTCCGCCCATCATTTCTGTCTCCGCCCCTCATCTTTCTGTCTCGCTGTCTTCCCCACCCTCCTCTGTGCCTCTTCATCCGCCCCCACATCCCCGGTCCCTGGCAACACTGCCCCCTCTCTTCCCTGTCCATGCACAATTCTGTCCCCATCCCGGCTCTCCTACCCTACCATCTTCTGCTGCTCTACCTGCAGATCTACGAGTATCGGAATGGCCACCAAGAAGTGGAGAGCCCTTTCCAGGGGCGCCTGCAGTGGAACGGGAGCAAGGACCTGCAGGATGTGTCCATCACTGTGCTCAACGTCACTCTGAATGACTCTGGTCTCTACACCTGCAACGTGTCCCGGGAGTTTGAATTTGAGGCACATCGGCCCTTTGTGAAGACTACACGGCTGATCCCCCTCCGAGTCACCGAGGAAGGTGAGGCTGAGGCACAGGGGGCTGATCTTTGGGGGTTGGGGTGGAGGACAGATTTCCATACATGTGAGACCCTTGAAGAGTGCAAAAGCCCAGGTATTTGGAATTTGGAGTGGTGACACCTAAAAATGTCACCATCGACCCATCTTCCTGTAGTGGCCAGCTTCCTGCAACATGCCCAACCAGCTTACCTTTCTGTGCCTTTTCTCAAAGCAGCAAGGCTTGGAGATGATAGTAGAATGACCTCTTCTGGTCCCTTCACAAAGCTTAAAGCTACTGATTCCATTTCTCCTCCTTCTCTGGTCTGTGTTGAATCCCTGACACAGTGAGCTCAGAGGAATGTCGTGAGGTTATCTAGAAGTCCTGACTCCTTCTGTCTAGGTAATACATTCCTCTAATCCAGTGGTTCTCAAAATTCAGCAAGCCTCAAAATCTCCTGCAGGGCTTTTTAAAACCCAGACTTCCTGATTCTGTAGGTGGAGCCTGAGAGTTCGAGTTGTCTGGGAAATCCTCTGGCGATGCTGCTGAGGCTGCCAGGTCACGCTTTGAGAACCACTCTGAACTGACGGTTGACAGTCTTTTTGCCTTTTGTCTTTCTCCACAGTAATCATACATACATTCCCTTCCCCATAGGTGGCATCTCTTGTTACGTAAATTCATTCTTACCCAGGGGAAGGGAACAAGTTGATAGCTTTCTAGTCTTCAGTTTAAAATCTTCAGACTCCCACAGCCAGTTCCTTGTCGGTGAGTGGGACGTCCTTTCTGTGACCTAACTCACACGTTTCTGTTGCAGTCTGAGTCCAGGATCTTAAGGGTGGACCTACTGCCTTGCTCAGACAGTCTGTTTCCAGCACGTGCTTAGCATTACCGCTGCCCTGAGAGGGAAGGATGGTGAGACCAAAGGTGTAGGGCATGAAAGAAGAGGTCGAGTTAAAGATTGGGCTCTTCCTAGGAAAAGGATCCAGGAATCCTAACCTCCAGGTTACTAGTGGGGTTTTTTTGCTTTTTTTTTTTATCATGCCATTGTGATAAAAATAATGAAGCAAAGGTTGTTCAGTCTTGAGTGAACAGTGGAGAAAGAGATGTACCGGCTCATACAATATGACTAAAACGGGAGGTACGTCAATTCTGAAGTGCAGAAGGACTCTCATGCCACCTGAATGAAGACCTCATGAGTCACTTCCCCTCTCTGATCCCATCTCTTCTTGTGTAAAATGAAGGGTTTGGATTAGATGTTCTAAGGTATCCCTGTGTTCAGAAGATCCATTATCCTCCTCTGTTTTCACGCCTCTTCTCCCTGGGGCAAAGGAGCCTGGTGCCCTCGACTGTTCACCACCAGGAACTGTTGGCTGGTACCTGCCAGACCCTAGGAAGGTGCCTGTCTGTCCCCACCTCCTGCTCTCCTGGGCTTTTGCCTCCAGAGACCCTAGCGTGCAGCTGGAGGAAAGAGTGGCAAAGCTGGAGCTAGTCCTCCTGCCGGGCACCTGAGCAAGCTTCCAGTAAGAAAAGGAAAAACAAGTTTATCAGAGCCGCCAAGCCTTGTGGATGGTGGGGCTGGAAGGAAGCTTGGAAGTCATTTAATGCAGGGGTTCTGGACAAAGAGCAGGCACCAGAACCCCCCAGGGGGCTTTCTCCACATGGAGATGCCTCTTTACCCCCCTTGCAGATGGGGTTCCATACGTGGGGGTGAGGTCTGGCATGTGTAAGTTGAAATGACTCCCAGAGTGATGGAGGGTACAGTTCTGGGGCCCCTCATTTTGTGGCTGAGAGAACAGAACTCTGGAAGACAGAGGGGCCTGTGATCCCAGGGAATCTCCCTGGTTCTCTTTGCTCAGGTTGGATTTCTCCTGGCTTAGTCTTTCACTTTCTGACTGTAGGACAGAAATCTGAAGCCTTCTCACTTAGAAGTAGCTAAAAATACCAAGGACGGCTTCCAGCGTTACTACTTCTGGGCTACTGCATTTAAAGGGATAGCATGATTTAAGCCAAACATATCACAAATAGTGTGTCAAGCCCATGAGGAGACGTTTGAGGTGTACGGCGTTCTCGTATGCCTCAAGCTGCATCTATGGCCTCCAGCTTCAGGCAGGAAACCGGGATGATCCTGGAGCCCTTGGGATGCTTCTGTGAGCTGAAGGTCATGGCTGGCTACACTATACTTTTAACAAGTAAGGCTTTGAGGATGGCTTGGGCCCCATGGATAATTGCAGACTGTGAATTTAGTTTGCTGGTGGAACTGGGAAGGGGAAAGGTGGCTGCCTTTCCCACTAGGAAGGAGTACATATATCAGAACATTTGCCATGTTTTAGTTGTCATTTTTGTTGTTCATGAAGCAAAGATCAATTCTTATTTATATTCATTCATTCAACAAATGCTTATTGAGTACTTCAAATATTCCATGATAAGACAGCAGGCTGAGAACTAGGAAATAAATAAGATATGTTCTCAGTAAGCACACAGTGAGTAGAAAAGAGAGATAAACACATCACAATACAACCTGGGAACTGTTGTAATGGATGGATGGCTAAGTGCACAGAGAAGGAGGTAAATAACTACATGAGAAGTTGAGGAAGCTTTCACAAAGGAGGGGACCTCGGTAGAGTCCAGGAGAACTTATTGGAGCCTGACAAGCAGAAGAGGATATCAAGACAGAGGGAGCAGTGGGGTGGGGGAGAGGCAAGAGGAAGAAAAAATGTCCACATATTCTAGAATGCCACAGTGTGTGTAAGAAGTGCTGCTGGCCAACCCAATGGGAGTGAGGTGAGAAGGCTGGACTGTGAAAGCTTTGCATGGATGTTAGCAGAGTGTAGGCATTATCCTGAGGGCAGCATGGAATGCTGAAGGGCTTTAAGCAGGGAAGTGGCAGGATCTGATCTGTGTGTCAGGAGTAGCACTCTGAGGACAGGCTGGCCGATACACTGAATCTTCTGATGCTCATTTCTATTTGGGTTTGGGATGATCTGAAAGGTTTTTGAGTCTAATCCAGACTTGTAGAGAACATGCTCATATCACTGGGTGGGCTGACTGCTGGCCCTCCGGGAATTTTCAGACGCTCTCTCCCTGGGGATACCCCCCTCCACCTCCCTAAGCTCAGTGGACACAGGCGGTTGAAATAAGGCATGTTCCTTACATCTGTGCAGAATTTTAAATCTCACAAGGTATTCTTAAATACATCAGGTAATGTAATATTCACAGCAACCTGACCGGTGTGAATTACTATCTTCACTTTGCGTATTAAGAAACTGAGTCTCAAATAAGGAAAATAACTACTTACACACCAGTAAGTAGCAAAATCAGGACCCAACTCTGTATACATCTCACTCCATGTCCAGGATTTCTTCCACTGCTCAGCTCCTCCTTCTTCCACCCATCACCCTCCTTCATCTGATATCCAGAGCAGCTGATGAAAGTCAGTGAGAAACCTGACAGGCGGGAGAGTCAGAGGATATGAAGCCTTCTTGAGTTCCTCTAGACTCAGAGCTTATCAAAGCCACACTTAAAAATAGGCCTCAAATACCTGTGACCCCAGTGATAGCGCTGGGTTTGTTGGACGCGCACATTCTGAGATTCATTCTCCTCCCTGCAGCTGGAGAGGACTTCACCTCTGTGGTCTCGGAAATCATGATGTACATCCTCCTGGTCTTCCTCACCTTGTGGCTACTCATCGAGATGATATATTGCTACAGAAAGGTCTCAAAGGCTGAAGAGGCAGCTCAAGAAAACGCGTAAGTGCAAAGATGCTAAAGTCATGATAGCTAGCACCGTCAGGATGCTTGCTCCCCCAGGTGAGGTGCCAAGCCATTTAGGTCGAGTACATCTGTCACCTTCTTCCTCATAACCTACAAGGCAGGCATCACTATTATACCCATTTTACAGATGAGAACGCTGAGTCTGGGGGAGATTGCATAAGGCCATTGTAAGAGGCAAAGCAAGGTTTGAATTCAGGCCTGCTGACTCTTGGCCTGCACGCTTAACCACTAAGGCAAAGACCATCAGGTGCCACCATGCCCCAGGAAATTAGTATTATTATAACCACTTTATACATGCCAAAGCAGGCTCATAGAGGTTATGTGGCTTGCCGAGGCCACACAGAGAGTGAGAGGAGAGGCTGGTCCTGGAACTCCTCTCTGTTCTTAATGTCCATGTTCTTTCTCTCATATTCAGCTGTTTCCTCTACACCGTGGAGCTCATCACACCACCTGGGCACTGCCCTTTACAGCTAAGGAACTCCAGTACCCAGAGTAAGGGCTCTAATCTTCTAATGTCCAGCCTGTACCTTGGCCATTTTCACCAAGTCCCTAGTCACTCAAGTGTGAGCACATATGAGAAATTATTGAGTCTGTAAGAGCAAGGAAAGCCAAGGAAACTTAACCATCTTGGTCTGACTCCAAGTAGAAAAATAAAAGATTCTTGAGAATTAGTAACCACAAGGGTCTAAGAGACCATGCTGGCTTGTTATTTGGGGAAAGGAAAGATAGAAAAAAAAAAGAAAGAAAGAAAACGCATATTTCTAGCAACATTGCTGTGGCAATAACCCAAAAGCCCTAGGCTATTATTACCTAGAAATGTTTGATAAAACAAAGCATGCATCATTTGGCACGAATATCTATAATCTTGAGGAAGTAAAAAAATTACAACTAACTAGATGTAAAGATAGAAAGATGCTGAGGGAGGTTGTAATTCCTGTTGATTTAGGTGCTTGGATTTTAGCGCTTGGACAGGAAGTACCTGCAGTTGGGTCTGCATAAGAAACAGAGTTGGAACTGCCCCCCAGCCGAGGCAGGATCCTCAGGAGGCTACAATTCACACAAAAGGTAGACCAGAAAATAATAAGCCCACCAGCCCAGGGAAAAGCCAAGGAAACTTGACCATCTTGGCCTGATTCCAAGTAGGAAAATGAAAGATTCTTGAGAATTAGTAACCACAAGCCTGCTCTGAATGTTTGGGATTTAAATTTAAACTACCCATAGGATCTAGGAACCTCTAAGCTGAGAAATTCAATAAAAAATTAGTCTCCTGCCAGTGATAACCATGAGGAAATGAAAAACCACTCTGAAGAGACCCACTCTCAGCCAAGGCCTAGCAGGATTCCCCAGATAATGCACTGCTGGTCTGATTTCACGATCCAATCCAAAACTGAAATACACAGCACAAAACAATCCAGCGTGAGCAAGAGAAGTAACAAGTGGCAGGATTAAATCCCAGCTGCTTCAGACACAAGAAGGGCCTGCTAAAGTATAGAAAATAGGCTTGTTTAAAATCATTAAAGCAATAAAAGAAAGAGCCAAAAGCATAAGAATAGAGTAAGTTGCTAAGAAAAAGGACAGGCAGATCTGAATAGAAAGGAAAAAAACAAACAAACTAACAACAACAAAAAAAAACCACACCAAAACCCTGGAAATGGAAAACATAATCAATAAAATTTAAAACTCAATGATTGGTTCAACAGAAGATTAGATGCTGGTAACCCAAAAATAAATATGAGGAAGTTATACAGAATGAAGCACAGAGACAGAAAACGATGAAAAATAATCAAGAAACAAGAAGGAAAAAAAGTAGAGGTCCATTAGAATAGAGCAGAGAGAATGGAGGAGAGGCAGTTTTCAGAGCGTGGCTAATGAAAGGATGACTCTGCAGATTCAAGATGCACAGTATGTCCTGAGCAGCATAAATACAAATAAATCTACACCTAACCACCAGCCACCTTTAAAACTGATAAATGGCAGCTACTCATATGGTCTCTAGCAAATACCACCTGTGTGTTGAAACTTTAGAAAAAATGACTCTAATATTAGAAACAGGTCAAGGATACCACCTCTCCCTGCCTCTGTTCAATATTGTTTTGGCAATCCAGGAGGTATACTAAGTAAACACACACAAAAAAGGATAAGAATTAGAAAGGAAGAAACTAAATGACCATTCACACCGATAATACAATTGTTTATATAGAATATCCAAGAGAATTTATAAACAAACTATTAGAACTAGTTGTTGCTAGAAATAAGGTTGTTGCTACAAATCAGAATGTAAAATTTCCACAACGTTGTTGTTACATATCAAAATATGAAAGTCACCTATATTCCAGCAATAAATTTAGAAATACATTTAAATATTTAAAACATTAAAAAATTTAAATTACAAGAGCAACAAATATGAGTATTCTTTAGTACATTGGAATAAATCTGACAAGACCTTTAAGGAGACAATTATAAAACATTACTGAAAAACTTAAGAAAAGACATAAATAGATGGAGAATAAAACCTCACTATTGTAAATAATTCTCTCTTAAATTAATCTTCAAATTCAATGAATTTCCAATAAAAAATACCCACTAAATTTTTAAAGGAATTTTTAAGCTGATCTAAAAGTTATATGGAATGCCAAAGGGTCAAAAATAGTCTAGACCAAGGGTCAGCCAGATTGGAAATATTTTAAGCTTTACAGGCTACATAGGGTCTCTGTCACATATGGTTCTTTTGTTTTCTTTGTTTTTTTTAACAACCCTTTAAACAAGTAACAGTGATTCTTAGCTTGTTGGCCATAGTATGCTGATCCCTGGTCTAAACAATTTCAAAAAATGAACAGTAAGTTTGGAAGAGGTGGCTGGTAGGACTCGTCTTATCAGAGGGGAAGATTTCACAGGGCTGTCAGAGTAAAGAGGTTGTAATGCTGACGTAGTATGCAAAATGGAGAAAACAGAAAGCTCCCAGTTTAATGCAAATATAAAACCCTAATATGTGACAGAGATGGCATCACAATAATTGAAGGAAGGGTAAACTGTTCAGTAAGTGTAGGGAAATTCCTTATCCATATAGGAAAAAATAAAATTAGGTACCCCATCTCTCACTCTAGACAAAAATAAATTGTGAGTGGACTTAAAGACAAAGTAAAATGTAAAAGCTGGGCCGAGCCCGTGGTGCACTCCGGAGAGTGCGGTGCTGGGAGCGCAGCAGCGCTCCTACCATGGGTTTGGATCCTATATAGGGATGACCGGTGCGCTCACAGCGCTCACTGGCTGAGCGCGGTGCGGCCGGTCTCAAAAAGGACAAA